TTATTGCAATTTAAAAGTATATTTAAAAACTTTAATGTTAGGCACGATTAATTTCAGAAAAAATGTGCGATTAATTAGTTCATTTTTTGAATCGATTGATAGCACTAATAATAATATAATATATAATGAAAATAAATAAATAAACACTATTGCACTTTACTTTAGAATCTATACAACATTAGAATCTGTAATGTTATGAACTCATATAGTTCTGCTCTGCTCTAAAATATATAATCTATTATTTACTGTTGCTCTTTTATAGAGTAAAACTTTCTTGCAAGCCATAGTGATGCCTGATTTGTGAACGAGTCATTCTTTTGAGTGTATTTTTATTTTTTTCATTTTTAAGTGAATTGGTCAACTGGTTCCTAATTGATCACGATTAAATGCTACCGAATTGGTTTACATTTTAATAATTGAAAATATCATGGAAAATTTATATGAAAAATCATGAAGTTTAACTTGCCCAAAAAAATAAAAAAATCCCATAGTAAACTACCATTTTAAAGGAGTATAAATGAAAATATCTAAAAATAAAGTTGGCCACATGACCCCTTTTGGGGACAGAGACACCCAGATTGTGAGCTTTGATCTAAATAGAATAATTATTTTATTTGTACACTTTATATAATTACATTGTAAGGCCCAAAATAGACTCTGTCAATCGAAATGAGTTTGTGCTAATGGAAATACGCTCTTGTTTCCTCACAGTGTGATCCAGCTTTGCTCCCTGAGCCCAATCACGTCATGCTTAATCACCTGTATGCTCTGTCCATTAAGGTAAGAAACCAACTTTGAGCTCTGTGAGATGAACTGCTATTGATTTCAAGTCTGTTCTGATGACTGTATCTCCTCTGGCTTTCTGACAGGACGGCGTTATGGTCCTGAGTGCCACACATCGGTATAAGAAGAAATATGTCACAACCCTGCTGTACAAGCCAATCTGAGAAACATGGCCATTTCAACACTCAACTTGCACGACCTCCGTCTAGTTTGGCTGTTATATATAGTATGTATTACTGTAAATAGAAATGTACAGAGATGCACTTTAGAGGTACATCCCACCTTAATGGGTATAAAATAATCAGAGACACAGAAATAGCTCAGTTTTACTGGACAGTTAAGCACATATCTACTCTTTTAGGGGTTGGTACAATTTTTAAACCCACTATTCAGTGGGACCGGGCCAAATCGACTGAATCGAAACCAGTACAGAGGTGTGTTCTTGAATAGTGTAAATAAAGTGTGACATGTTTATTTTAGTGTTTAAATAATTATATGTGTGTGTAGATAAATATTAATATATTATTAGAAAGCATAATGAAATTTCAGCCATTTATCGGTCAGAAAAAGGCCAGTTGTTTGGGGCCAAATATATAAAAAG